TGCACTGTGAATCACTTATCTCCTGTGCCCTTTCAGTTAAAATATCAATTTTTGGGCAGAATTCGTTCTATTCTGCAATAAAAGTAAATTATGGTCAATAACAAACTGGTTCCTTTAAACATTGGTTATGAACATATTTCAGGAACGGAAGTCATGCATGTGAGAGAGCTGTGGAAAGCAGAATGGCGAGAATTTCATGTTACGGCCACCTCCGCAACACGTTGATCAGACTGCCAACGGAAATGATAGAAGTCGTCTTCGAATGCAGGAAACAGAAGATCGAGGTGCTGAGCACGTCGCTCGGTTCACCGACCATAGATCGCGGGCGATGTTTGTCGACCGATATCCTTGTGGACGATCTCGATTGGTCAGTCACCCACCATGACGCTGAGAGGTCTGTGTTAGCCAGAAGCCTGCGCTTTTAGGGAGAAGGCTTGAATCCGCGACTTACGGCGGGCATGAGCGCATCGAATATTCACCTGTGTCTTGTTACCAACGATGTATAAAATTGCTCTATGCAAGCTGAGGCAGTTCGAACCCGTATGTCGGTGCCATTTTGCAGATCGCAAAAGGTCAAGCAGCACAACTGGTAAGGAAACAGGCCTTTGTGACAAAATTATTACCGATTTGTGCACAGGCCAGGTACAACCATCAAGTGAATTCCTTGTACGTTTCTGCGAGTAATCTTAATGCTAAAATCGTATGCACAGATGGAGTGGCATACCGGAATGCTGAACTGTTGAAAGTGATGACGCTAAATGATTGGAGCTTCTACAGCAAAACGCGCGAAACCTAGCCAAAAACTGATGGCAGCAACGTTGGTCTGTATCTGCCATATTCCATCTTTAAATCTTGTATCTGGTCTACTTCAGGTCTTTACATGGCGTTGCAGCGGCGGCGTTCACGGCCAATTCATAGTCTTCCAATTATCAAGAAGAAATTTTGGTGGGTTAACGCACTCCATCCAGCCGACTGATCAGCTCTGCAATATGGCGAGTCGTTTCGCTGGTAAAAGCTTGCTACCTTAATCTGCTGACCTCGGCTATTTCGCTGCATGTTTTTCTGTGCTTGGCCGCCAGTATATTGTAATCTGTCTCTTGAGTTGTCTTCATCTCCGCACTGAATGCGTGGTGCAAGTTTTGTCATTTCATGCTATCTTCCTTCCGGCAGACTTTAGACTTCAAGGGCAGGATGCAAAAGTCCAACATCTAGGTCTTCTTCTTGCAGTCTTTGAATGGGACCGCTTGTATGGACGTGCAAAACGTGTCACTCAAATCCTTTCGACGACCTTGGAATTGTGGTAGCTCACTGCTCGAAAGCGTTTTCTGATATCTGAACCGCAACGCTGTTGTGCAGGAAGCGGTGGGCGAAGATGTTTCTCTTGTTCAGCAGAATGAATCTGACACAGAACGACGGCACGATGGTGTGCCTGGCCGCAACTATCTTATAATCAGTTCGAGCGTTTGCCTCTGCACCGCGTTAGACATTGCAGAATTTGCCCTTATGTGAATCGCACTGTTTGGTCACGAAACATGGTCAGCTTATTTGACACTGTAGCCGTCCATTGAATACCAGGATCAACTAAGAATTTTGAGAAGTTCTTTCTTTGAGTCTATCACTGAGCGGCTGCAGAGCGTGAGCAATTAGATTAAATTACCATTCACTGCTCCGGATTTAAAATCTCTGCCACTAAAA